AAACACGATGCCATCGTCAGAATTTACGTAGCACACCAAAATTTGTAATAAATTGTGATGGTTTTTGATCTGTTTCATCTCAATTTATTAAAAATCTTGATGCACTGTATAAATTATAACTACAGCATCCTGTTTAGCACGAAAAAATTTCAAAATATTCTACTATGATACTTCGGAAAGAATTTGAGTGTTGAATAGATGTGTAATCGATTGATTGCGAATTTAGTTTATAAATATGCAGATACTCTTTCTAGTTGCGGATATACTTCGTAATGCGATAATGCTTCTATATTAGTATTGATTTCTTGGAAGTTGGGACATCAGTTGTGGAAACGGGTCATCTTTTGTTCAGAACATTGTGTTTCCTCAGCTTCCAACAGAATAAATTCACAGCGTCCGGTCTCTCACGGTCACACGTGTAAGACGCGGTTGTGACACGAACGTCCATTCGTTAGGCGAATCGCTAGCGAAATTGTTGACTACCGATGCTCATCGGACCGAATCAACGTTCACGAGGTAATGGACGTGGCTGATGGCAATGTCTTGTCGCGTCGCGGCTCGTCGACGCCACCTGCGACAGCGGGAAAATTCTACAGGGGCATACTTTGCGCAGATTTACGTAGTAATTCTGCTCATCGACGTCTTTAAATACCCGTCGTTTAATTTTCTAAAGTGAAATACGTAAACAAGGTATACTGTTCGCTTTCCTTCGGCTGAAGTTACTCATTCTCTTCTTTTTTTCTTTTCTAAACTCTAACATGAACGATTGATCGTCGCTATTAAAAATTTCATTAAGTAGATACACTACACTGCGGCCTTGTTAAAAATGAATTCACAATTAGGCGAATAATACAGTCATTTTCATGTTTATTGCGCTTTAATTGCGCTTGCATATCACTGTAGATATGTAATGTAACGCATTTGCAGAAAAATTAATATTCAAAGGGGATATCGCAAGGTGGTAATCTGCAAGAGAATTAAAGGCTCGGTAGCCGGGATAGAGATCTTCGTGCAGTCACAGCTCGTTTGAGCGAGTACCTCAAGTGATTTCAGTTACACCTCGTTTGCGCGATCCACCGGCGGCTCTTATTATTTCCTTTCGAACGAGGAAGCACTTTTTTTCAATTGTACGATCGTAGTTGATGGATCGCAATTGCGGGCCTGATGGCGACGGATAACATTGTATGATCGTCAATCCATGGTACTGTACAAGTATACAGGATAATAAGTTAGCTAGTTGCACGAACAGTCTACATAATTATGAATGTTTCACAATTGAACATGCAATATTTAGGATACAACATCCCCTCGATCAAACATGATTCAATGTAATACAACTGCGATATAATGCAATTCGAATCATTAATTGAATCATATCAAAATGAAAATGACTAATACTAATTCTTAAATGTTTTTTCGATATAATATACTCAGCTTTTTTCCAATATTTTTTCATTAACAAAGATACACATTTTCTATCGTTATGTTTCTTAATATGATGTTTCGGAAAAAAATGTTTACAATATGTTCATTTTTATAAAAGCTGTAATTTAATTGAGTTGAGTATGCCATGCATTATGCTATCCTTGTAGTAAAGCATTTAAGAATAGGAGCATATTTTTTTAATCTTACAGCTTTTCCTTGAGTAAAATTTGTTATAATCCAATTTTTTATTCCTTGCATAAAAATATGATACTTTCAGCGTCATTATAGCTTTACCATCTTATAAAGGTTAAAGGCTAATTTAGAAATATTGCTAATTTAGCATGTTCTTCTTCTTTATTCGCACAGTGACTTTTTCGCGAAAATAACACGCGAGCTTTAGAAATATACGCGTAAATTTACTTTCTAATAGATCTTCCACTCGGACGCCTTTGGCTCCTGGGATCGTGTTTACCCGGCGTGGAGGTGGAATTACGAGCGAAAAGAACGGGGAATAGCGAATAAATCACGAACCACGGCTCTTCCACGTTATGCTAATGACACCTCCTGCATCCTGTGTATCCTTCGCGCAAGACGCGAAAGTTCAGACCGGCACGCCACGCGGCTTCGTTCTTCTTTTTACGGGATTCTGAGTAACACACCTCCTTGACGCAATTGCAGGAAATAAAACATTCTCCCTTGACATTTCTCTACATTCAACGCGGCGCAAATCTTTATCGCAGCGTCGGCTGAATCGAAAATAACTGGATAACAAAAGATTATTTGGCATCTTCGATATTGATTCGGACGAAAAATATTCTCTTGTACATAATGAATTAATAACACGTTAAGATATGATTCGAAATGAGAAAAGAACATTTCTTTCAGTTTAATCATTTGCTTAGTGTCATCGACTCATCGCGTTATCTCCTTGCTATCTGCCCAACGTGATTCGTCAAAGTCTTTATGCATGATTGTCATCATGAAAGTATTCATCGTGTACGAAGGTTTCCGCTCGTCACACCGCGAAGCGTCGCGCGATCACGAATTCATGACTAATGCTGGTAATCGGGCGGCCCGGCTGATGTGCACGTCGGGCACGAGTAAAAGCAACAGGACTGATCAACAGGCGAAGACACGCGCCATCGAGCACGCGCCGATAGATCTGACATCTCGACGCCCGACGCCATACACGTGACCGGAGGCTCATTACTCGGCCATCCTCTTCGCTCCTTTCACCTCCGGTTTTATCCTACTTCCTCCATCACCCTGTGGTCTCTTCCCGTCGGAAGACACGCGCCCGACGTCTCCCCCGATTTCCCAGAATCGACCTTTGAAAGATCGAATCGCGCCACGCCGTTGAATCCGAACGACCCACCGCGAACGTTCATGAGAGTTTCGTGAATCGGTCGATGCGGACCAGCTTCCTCTCTCTCGATCTCTCCCTTTTTCCTCCTGCGAAGGTTGTTTACTATGCCAAGATGGATGGTGGAGTTAAGGAGCGCGGCCCCAAGATGGTGAAGTCTGTTAGTGCTCGTAACCCTCATGTCCACGCGATCATCTGCGGTAGAACGATCGATGGTCGATAAGTCGAGGTGTCTAGCTTTCTAAGCGGACCTAATTGCTATCTCTTCGATATTCGCATTTCGTTTGAAGTATTAAGAATTGAGTGAACTAGTCACTACAATAATTATATAAATTTGACAAATTTCAACACAATTTTATATTCATTATCAACGTAATAACGATCCACCCAATTAAGCTTACATTCAAAGACCGTAACCTTATTAACACTCGCTACGATATACAGTGAGGAACGAATGTCAGATTCCGGAAGAATGTTGCACATCTCGAGAGCCTATCTTAATAACCAAATCGCACCGTCACTCCCAGCGGGCGACTTGGTCAGGCTTGGTTTAGTGAGAAGGGAAAAATTTGGGCCAAGGAAGCGCTTAAAGAGGACTCGCATACCTTACCTCTCTGCGGTAAGAGAGGTCCCATGGGAAAAGAAAGGCCAGAGAAGAGGAGACGAGAGAGAGGAAGACCGCGACGCCGCCGCGCCACGACGGCCACTAAATATTGTGTTCGCGCAGAGAATACAGCTCTTGGGACACGTGTAAGCGGGGGACCGCGGGATTCCGTATGAGCAGATCGGCCCGCCGATTATACGCTAATTCAACGCAAATTCCTTTCCGGAGATATCTGTATCGCTCGCATACATCAGCGAAGACCGCGGTAGCTCCTGCCGTTGCTGCTGCTGCTGCTGTTGCTGCTGCTGCTGCCGTTGCTGTTCCCGCTCTTGCTCTCGCTGCCGTTGATTTTGTTGCTGCCGCTGCTGCTGTTGTTTCTCCTGTTCCTCCTCGGCCCCCGGAATCGCCTACAGTCCTCCACGCTGGCTTAATCAGCATCCACGAGAAGACAACTATATAGCCGTAGCTTATACGTAGTTTCACGCACATGTGGCGTGCACACGTCGTTACGGAGACATTGAGTCTCCACGAAGGAGAACCGATGAAAGTTGGAAAGAAACTTCCGTTGTTGGCTACGAACGTAGTCAGATCTCTTGGATCAGAGTGATTCTGGGAGCTTTCCTGTTGATGGAATTTATTTCTACGCGCAAAGTGCATGACGAAACTTCATTAAATTGAATAAAAAATTATATATCACGTAGAATTAACTTAGTAACTTTTATAAAGCTCTGTTTGTATTATACCGAGCTGTGAACAATATAGTGACATTGTCAAGCATTATATCGCGCAGCTCCGACTGCTGTAACCGTCATGGCTGATGGTCATCTCATACCTCGTCTGTAATCGCGTTAGCGCTACGACGCGGTTACAGCCGCGCATTAATTAAGACTAATTAGTTCAGAAATTAAATACATATGTATGTCAACCAACAATTGATATCAAAATAAAAGAGAGAGAAAGAGAGAGAGAGGGGGAATAAATGAAAATTCGAAATGCGCTTTAAATCGCGGACTACTTTTCCACCGATCCATTCGATGCGTCACGATTTCAAAGAAAACTACCATGAAGTTATACTATGGAAAACACGGTCGATCTTGACGATACTTGGACCGCGTACTTTCTCACGCGCGGATCGTTCTGAAGAAAGTTACGCCGCGCCGGCGGGAAAAGAAGCAGGCTACCGTATATCCGCGGTATGCACCTATACTCCGACCGAAGGTCCGGGGCAGAGGGCCGAAGATATATCACGTTGTCGGCCGACATACCATTCTTTTGCGGCATGGCGCGCGGCCGACACTGCGCGGCAGCAGCATTCACAAATTAAGGAGCGCCAAAGTCCACGGCGGCGCGGCGTAGGTATGGCGCTATCGCGCTTCATAAAACTTCGTTAGCACGAAGCCGGGGGAAGTAGACGTCCGAGCCTGGCCACGGGTATATACTCACATAAGCGCTGATGGTCCCGCGAGACCACCGTAAAAATTCATTTTGCACCTCGGCCGTGTAATTCAGCCGGATTCTTGCATCTTCACCAGCCGGACCAGTGGAACGTATTAGATGGGCCATGTCCGCGCACTTCGTAGTTAATGACTTCGCTCGGCCTGCCGTCGCGCTATGTGCGGTACGTTTAATAATTGTACAGCAACAGAGCGCACCCTTAATTATTCGTATTATCCGTATGCGTAAATTCCGTCCTCTTTCCTGCGCTCTGCTCTTCGAACATATAAAAAGCATTACTTACGGTTGTACGAAAAAAATTTTGATTTTTATAAATCCAAATTCCAGCTTTCATCTTTTATTTTCATTAGAATTGTTTCAACACACATAGACATAATTGTCAAATTCGATTGATCAATACTTGTACTGTAAAGTTCCTTACATCGTTATTCTCGACACATGACGACGCCTAATGTCATTACATTTCGATACGTTCGTCGTGTGTTCGTTAATTTTTGTCGCGCAGACTGCACATATAAAATGAAAATCGTACACAAGGTGTACCTACGTTCTCGTTTAGAGACCCGCCACGTGTACCATCTCATACATATACCTGCTCGTGCGGGCAGGCTCGCGCGTGGTTCCCGTCATTAGGTACGTAGTCTCGTTAGAATGAACTTTTTTTTTTCGTCGTCCACTAATGAGGTGGTCCGCGACTTGCAGTCCATGTGGAGGGTAGCCCCAGCATACGTTGGTAGCCAGCTTCAGGTCTGAGGGCAGCTTATATGACACCCCTACGCAAATCCGGGGAGACGGAGACACTATTTTTAATCTACCCGCGGGACGCCGACTCGATGGAATTAAAACGCATGTCTCGCTACGAAAGCTTGTTGCCCTGTCGCCCCTACGCGAAAAACATGTATCCCTTTTAGAGTACGTCTCCTGGAATCGGGGTTCGTTAGAATGTCACGTTAATAGTTGTCATCGAGCGGCGGTCCGATGATTAATTTTGGACGTTAATTTTAGCAGGCGGACTAGAGTTCATACGGTCACGTTCGGGTATACATTCAACGACGATCCAAAGTATGATGTGAATAATAGAACATCGCTGAAATAATTGATACAAGACTCTGTTGCGAAATTCTTGGCTGCATTATTAACCCTCCGTCACAATGTGAAATTTTCACTCTTTGTCAGCAATATATAGTTGAACTTCAGTACAAATTTTCATATTCTTGACTATATGAAAGTCTAAAAAAATTCTTTCATATTTGTGAAAGCTTTAACAATGAATATTAACATAGTTGGATTGTATATATTTTACTTATTTTTACAAATTTAAATTTATCTACCAAAATATCTCCGATCTTGTTTACACATTTACGATGTAATATGTTTCATGATTTGCTGAATAGTAGCGTTATATTAATGAATGATTTTAATACAGACATGAAAGTTAAAAATTACTGTCAGAATAAGTTAAGAATAGTGAATTCAGTAAGTTTAAAACAATTGGTAAATGAATCAACGAGAAAAATAAATACTTCAGAGACAATAATTGATTTAGTTTTTACTAACGAAGAAATAGAGGTAACAGTTGAGTATGAGCTAAAAATAACGGACCATTCAGTAATTGTCTTATATTGGGGTGTAAGTGCGAAAAAGAGAATAGAATGATTGTATGTAGGAATTATAAGAAGATGGATATAGATAAATTTAGAGAGAATGATTGAGTGTAATGTAAATATTCTCGAAGGTAATAATGTTAATGATCTGGCGAATTTAACTATAAATGCGATTGTAAAATGTCTTGACGAGGTTGCATCTAGAAAGAAAATTATACTGCGAAATAAATGGCGAGATAAGTAATGGTTTTCCGAGATCCGTCAAATGGTAAATCTAAGAGACGAGGCCTATAAATTAGTTCGAATAAGCAAAAATAATGATGATTGGAAATTGTTTCGACAACTGAGAAACAAAGTGGTTGATGAATGTAAAAAGGCCAAGAGAAATAATTTAGAATCTAGATTAGATAAAAATATAAAAAATCCTAGACAAATGTGGAGATCGCTTCGGGAGCTGCTGAAGGATAGTACGAGTAGAGATAATTACAGGGAAAATCAGTGTGGAGACACTTTGTATAGTAATATATATGACAAATATTTTTAATAGATATTTTGCAGATAGCATATCAGGGACTTTAGAAAGTAATGATACAATGGAATCAATAATAGATAAATATACTGAAAGTAAATTTGAAGTTCTTAGTACAATTAATATAGGCGAATTAAATCGAATAGTTCATAGATTAGGAAACAAAAGTGGTACAGAGGAAGGAATAACTTGAGATAATGAAAAGAGTGGTAACGGTAGCAAGTATAAATTATGCGAAGTACTGAATAGATTAGAGAAAGGAATATTCCTAAATGAGAGGAAAGAAGCTATTGTAATTCCTATATAAAAATACAAAGAACAAAAACAATAGAAGAATTCGATCTATAAAATAAGTTATCGATTTACGAGAAGGTACTAGAAATAACAGTTCACAATCAGTTAGTTGACTATTTGGAGAATAATAAATTATTAGAAGAGTCAATCAGGGTTTAGAGCGAGATATTCACATGAGACTGCCCTTCAACCGATTATATCGAGTTGGAAAAGTAGTATAGGTGAAAGAAAAATGATAGGAGTGATATTTTTAGATTTAAAAAGGGCGTTTAAATTAATAGATATTTTGTTAAAGAAAATGAAAAGTTATGGGATAACAAGGGTAGGACTTAGGAGTGCAGAGGTATAGTGCAATGTAGATATATGAGATGTTTAAGTCTTTGGATAATTAATAAATAGGCATTATATTAGATTGTATCATACATTGTAGCTATTGAAGCTAATAAAGATCAATCAATCAATCAATCAATCAATCTTTCTTTTCCTCATTCTCCGATTCACCGAAGCGTCTAAGTGGAAGTAACTCAAGCTGGATCTATTTGCTCTTTCCGGGTTTCCTCGAGCCGCACTAACTCCTCTGCACTCCGGCTGTAATCGACTGCCAGTCGAGATCTTCCTCTCTCGAATACATTCTGGCGCGGGCGATGGTTCCCATTCATCCAGCTCGTCCCGGTTGACACCCGGCCGTTGCCGTCACTTAATTCGCGAATATTTCACCGACGCGTCACCCCGAAAATACGCTACAGCTGCTCGCGTCGTGTCTACAATCGGGGCCACCTTCGGCATACCCCAACGAAGAGCATAAATCTCAGCGCTGATACATTTTTACTTATCACGTTTCCATCGCGCGGTTTCCTCGTGGTCTCGCGTTACTCGCGCGGTAATCTCGCCATGCGATTTAAACGACTGACAAACGAATTATCACCTCGCCTTTCTTCATGTATGTTGCAGACAGCTTTACATTGGGGAGCTAAACATGGTAACGAGAACATCGTTAAATTAATAGCGGGTACTTACAAAGACTACATCAAGAGTGTCAATGAAACTACGGTGAGTATCGTTTCCCTAAGATCGATGGATAAAATATTTGTTCATAAAATTAGTGTGTATGGACATTATAAAATGTAAGAACGATGGTTTAATTTACATATGGAATATTGAAGCGATTATTCGATCTTATACTATTATTTGAACGATAATGTAAATTCCTATTTTTTTTTTTATATTTCCGATGTCTGACCATTGGTTGCCTCCATCGGATGATGCAGAATGGGGTAAGTGTGTCTTATTTTTTAACTATAGCTTAATATGTTTTAAGTAATACGCAGTAAGTAGATTAGCAATTTATAATTATATTAAAAAAATAACGTCTTTAATGAATTCTATTTCTTACATCAATGATTTTTACATCGAGATTAAGACAAAATGTATCCCAGATACATTTGGATAACATCGAGAAAGAGCGAGTATCTGCGGCGGTCCTTGTCACGATCGCGTATAATTTGCCAGACGTACGGAGAGCGGGATCGGTTTAGGGGGCGAGTCGTGTTGTAAGAGGTAGAACAAACGGAGAGTCAGCGTAGCAGAAAGGAAGGAAGGCAGGAAGGAAAAGGAAAGGAGAGAGATGGTCGAAGCGCACAGAAAAGCCCGCAGATAGGATCGGATGTGTGTGGTCCCGCCGCTCTTTGCTCTTTATAAGACTTATATAAGCCGGGAGTGCTTCACGACAAGAGACGGCGTGCGACGAGGGAGGCGAGTACTTAGAGGAGGAAAGAGGGAAAACGAGGTCCTTGCTCGTTAGTGGTTCGCGACAAACTCCATCTCGGGCTCCTATCCTCGCGTTATACTGGACAACAAAGTTATTTCAATTTTTTTGTTGCGGACATTGCATTGGGCTGTGATTGCCAGTATTTGTTACTCTAAAGCCAATTAGGTTTATAATCTTTACAAGACGGAAAGCCACTATAGGGCCTGTCATAGAAATACAATAAATTATAATAAATCTTAGGCTCTGCACATATGAAAGAAATATTAAAAACAGAAATAAATATTAAATATTAGAGAAATAAAAAAGTAGGAATAGAGATTAAATGTAACGCGTACAATGAATACAAATAGAAATAAGTTATAACATATATGATGTCTTGTGTTTTATTTGTATTCGTTATGCGTTATGTTCAATCTATTTCTAATTTTTTATTTCTTTAATGTTTTATATCTATTTCTATTCCTAATGTTGTCCGCAAAATCTTACTCGAGAAAATGCTGTAAGATTTTAAAAATAGACCTTCCGCTCTCTAAATGTTAATCTTTCTTCTTTCTATCACATAAGCCATGATGATGTATTTGAGCAATACATCATTATAATTTTATGAAAATTTAATTTTTTATATTACACTTACAATTAGCGAGAATATAACGATTTTACGACAAATTGAAATATTTGATATTTTTGAATTGTCGTTTCGACCAGTTGGAAGGAGCTTACTTAACTCGTTTAAATTTTTTCCTTTGTCGTTCCGTCATTAGATGGAAATTGAATTCGAAGCGCGTGTATTCCGAAAGCCGGTTCATTTATCTTCTTGTAAGGTCTTCACCATAGCTTCTTCGCGCATGGTAGACTCATTTGTTTCCGCCGGTGTAATCCGAACTGACCTGTCGACACCGCAGCACACCTTTTCTTCCTTGCCTCTAAATCCACGTTCTTCTACAATTCGTTGTCATCCGTTGAGCGTTCTCTCAACTATAGAAATCTTATCGAAAAAAAAAACGACAATTTTCTTTATACCATCGTTTATAACACCGCTTCGATAATTTCCAAACCATATAAAAAAAATTGGAAAATAGTTTCTTTAAATAATTTGATATAAAATAGAGAAATTAAAATATAGGAAAATATTAAAGTATACGTTACATATATATTATAGATTTCCCTAGTATTTTTGTACATTTTTCAAGAGTAAGGTCCAGAAGTCAAGAGTATATAAGAGTATAGCAGAAGAGAATCAAGAGTACACGCATAAGAGTGTATGAGAGATTTCCTTAATACAGAAACATTATGCGCGCAGACGTCGCTATTTTCGTACCTTCCCAATGACAATCCCGGCTGACTCGATGTTGCTGGGGATTAGCGCCGGATATAATGAATACGGTCGTGCTCGTGTACGTACCGATGTAGAGTAGGTAATCCACACCCGGACGGGGGAGATCTGTCCTCGGCGAATCCTCGCTCTGCTTTTTTCCACGGCGCGGCTTTAGGACCAGACTGTGGATCGCGCGGCGCGGCGTAATCTGTCACCGGCATCGCTCCTGCGCCGCGCTTTCCTACGGCTTATCCCGGGCACTGGCTTTCCCCCAATCCCGTGGCAAATGAAAGAACGGTGGGAAAAGAGTAAAAAAAAAAAAGAACTCCGCGATTACCCGGTAGCTTCGTAATGTACGCGGAATCGCCTGTGGCACAGCGCCGATCTCATCCTCGACTAATATCCGCCACTCGAGGGCATCGATACCGGTTCGCTTGACATGGCCACCGGAAACCTGAAAAAATCAGTAAATTGCAAAAAGCACGATAATGGGAAATAAAAAAAAAATTATTCTCTTCCTCATGCGTGCTTCGATTCGCGTGTTACTCGATATTCATTAGTTTTCTTTGAATTCTTGCATTATTTAAAATGTCACTGACTCGGACAAGTTATTTTACCCAGGATGTTAACATCAAGCTGCGCAGCTTCATCTCATCACGCAAGCTTTAGAATTTTCGATGCAGCGGAATGTTTCTCGGTGCAACAAACACCGAACGGATCTGACTGATTGTGCTTTTAGTGTAAAAAATCATAGCGCGAGCGGTCTGTTTTTTTCGAATGTTTGGTTTCGTCGGTGAAGAAACTCCGGCTTGCTTATCGTAAGAATTTACAGCGGTTTTGCCGCCACTTATCAATTCTTTTTTTAAATCCCCGGTCGGTGTTAAATAAAACGGGTGCGCCGCAGCCTCGACGAAGCAGATCGCAGTCACTGGCATAATCTGTCACCGGTACCGCTTCTACCGTACTTTTCTACGGCTTATCGCGGCATCAGCTCGCATTTAATCCCCGCAAAAAACGGTGGTCCCGTATTCACAGGAGACTCCCGTAAGCCGACCGTCTGCATCGCCTGGCGCCTGCATCCTTACCCGACGTAACGACAATTCTATCCTTGATTAGGGTTTTGTAAATGCGACTAGAATGTATCTCATGAGTGATAACCATGTAATTCCTTATTAGAATTCATCATTAGGAATGGATAATATGAAAAATTGTTAACAATAAGAGAAATTGTCGCGCGTTATAATATTTTTAGTAGGGTTGGAGTGATAACCATGTAATTCCTTATTAGAATTCATCATTAGGAATGGATAATATGAAAAATTGTTAACAATAAGAGAAATTGTCGCGCGTTATAATATTTTTAGTAGGGTTGGGAAGTAACTAGTTACTTGTAATTAAGTTACAGTTACAATTACAGTTACTTTTTTTCAATAACTATAACTTACTTCCTTTTTTTCATCTGTAACTGTATCTTAACTTAGTTATTTCTTCCAATAGCATTTCTTCCAATAACTAATTTAACAGTTACTTTACATTTTAAACTTATTTGTTAATTTAATGTGACTGGTTAAAATCTGAATACTGATTTAGACTACAGTTCACTTGATGCTACAAATGCTTCGAAGTATTTTTTGATAGGTCAGTAAATTGTAAACGTAAATTATTTTTTTCTTGAATAACTAATGATATTGTCATTCATATTGTTCTGTTATTATAACAGAAAAGTAACTGAAAGTAATTAAAAGGTTACTTTTTTAGTAACTATGATTGTAACGAGTTAATTTTTAATCTAACTTGGAACTGTAACTGTTATTTTTACAAAATAACTTTTCCAACCCTGAATTTTTTAGTTTTTACAAATTACTGCAACTTGGATCATCAAAGATTGGAAAAGAAAAAAATATGAAATAGATATATTTAAGCAAACTGTAACAAGAAGCCTAATCTCTAGGAATAAAATTTTAGTTAGTCCGAAGTTTAGTTTATCCGATTAGACTCGTTCATGTTTCAGTTTTGTATCTTCATCGCAGTTAGGATTGCCATCCTTTTTTCCCCCGTTTTCTTCTTTTAGCATGTCCGGGAATGTCCAAGAGGATTTCTCGAAGCCGTCCGAGATTTTAAAATGCCTTTTAAGTATTTTGCTTTGACTCTCACGTTATCCTGTATTAGTCTCGATTTGCAATATGTAAATATAAGTAGTAACTTTTAAGCCGATCAGTCAAATGTGAAAAAAATAAGCGATCAATCAATTTTTTGTGGCTTACAATAAGCCGCATTTTTTCTAAGACATATTTTACTAATTTATACGTATTTTTGTATGCGTTCAGGATTGCAAACTAAATGTCTGCCATTTTTTCCTGATCTGATTTTAAAAATTTTGATGTAATCTTAATATCACTGCAGTGAATATACACACTAAAAAACCTATTTGATTGAATTACCTAATCTTTTGTTTGGATATGGGCAAACAAATCTTTTAAAAATAATTTAGTTGAAAAATTTGATTATTGTAACATTTTACTTATATTATCAGAAATAAGTAGAACGTACAGAGTACAAGTAGAATGAAGTACAATAATCGAACTTTTTGGAGTTGAATTTTGATTATGCGAAAATATACGAGACATGTAAAAAAATGTCTACACAATAGATCGCAGAAAATGATATTGCCTTCCAACCGATTTTCGACCAGGCCCACGTCGAAGAACGAGATATTCTCGGAACGTGCGAGCTTCCTCCCCCCCGATTCCTTCACACTTCTAGAATAGGCGGGGGAATGGAGAAGTGCCGTTATGATATAGCGGCTCGTAAAGGCGGCCCGATGTAGGAAAATATTAAAATTGAAAATCTTCAACGGTGATATACGCGTGCGTGATATTGGTGGCCGGCAGCTGTCCTGTTCCTGAAGGCTGCTGCAAGGATGAAAGAGAGAAAAACGAAAAAGTGAGGCAGAAAAAAAGGACATGTTACGCGCGAGTAGGCGCACTCTAGAGAAGAAACGAACAGAGACGAGAAAGACGGAGACGAAGTGGCGGTAGGGACGCGATATTGTCTCGAGACTCCGCGTGTGCCAGGACATTGCTACTTTAAAATATCATCGTGAGCATAAAAAGAGGGTTCTCCGCGTGCACGTATCCACCTACATACAGAGTGTTTCAAAAGTCACTCACTTTCTAATAACGTGAATCTAGGATCCAATATGCCTATTTGATAATTAAAATTCAAGCTTTATAATCATCGAGGTGTTCTATTTTTTTTAATATCCTGATCCAAATTATAATCTCATTAAAATCCACTTAAATGCTTTGAGGATATAAAGTTATCTCTCTGATGTAAAATAAAAAATTCTATAAAACCTCTATCGCGTTTCTAGTTCAAAAACTGTCGTAAATTTGAACATTTAAGCAATAAGCTGTTCTTAATTAGATTTCCAAAATATCTACGAATCGCAAGAAGCCGTTGCTTTTACGACACCTCGTAAGTGCACATCCACATCACGAAGGGATGAGCAAGGGTGCGTGCGTGAGCTCGGTAAAGGGTGTGTCGTGCCACTTGTCGCGAGGACACACGTGTCGCATGCTATTGGAGTTGGCAAAAGGGTGACGCGCAAAGTCCACCCCATATATGTGCCGTTTTCCGTTCTATATGTGACCGTGTTTATATGTCGTGACTTTTGCGCGCGTACCTTTAGGCGCGGGGATTTTAAAGTGAAATAAATTAGAAATTTTAAGGGGGTGAGCCACGCGCGAATCAGCCAACCCCTTCTCTCCCTCAGCTCGTATTATCGAGGGTGCCTGAACGCGGAGGGTGCGTCCCGTTTCGATAACTACGATCGCGGTTTTGACACATTTGTCACTATCGTTTATTGCACAGTTCGATATTAAATGCTACGATATACAGTCGAGCGTTGTTCATGAACTCAGTCATGGGGACGATTTTTTAATCGCACTTCCGTAACGCGGCCAAATGTCGCGCTCGGTCGCGTATCTCGAGGGTGATTTTAATTGAGGGTAAAAGCATTATACAGATTCAAATCGGCTCTTTCGTTACGCATTTTTCCACCATGGGCTTTACAGCCGGTGACACATATAGCCAATGTAATGTATTACGATTATGCATGCCGCAAATATAATTGAAATGAAACATATTGCATCTGCAAATTCAATTTACAAAAATCTTTTTCTGTGCATTTATTCTTTTCTCTTATAATTTAATCAAGAGACCCTCAAAGTGATATTTTTGAAAAATTTCTCGATATAGAAATATACTGAAAGAAAATATTTTGGTTATCAATAAGAAATATAATAAAACGAAATAATTCTGATTATATGAATCAGAAGTCTAATTATGATAATCAGAATTCTAGTTATTGTAATTGAATTTATGTCCATATAGTATAGGAGTTTGCAGCAACATTATTGCAATGCAATGCACTTTGCAATAATATTATTGCAACGTTACTGTAATATTGCTGGAATGATTTGTGCTGTATGGACAGTATCTCCATTAAAATGTTTAATAGATTTAACTATAAGTGTCCGATGTGTTACTTTTCTATTTAAATCTACCAAAAAAAACTCTAATTAATGCAACAAGACTCTAAAATTAAGATCAATAGATAGAAGCTTATTTAAAAAAACTCCATTTTACATTCGTGTCATATGGTGAATATGAAAAATACATAGAGTACAACAGTATTTTGATATGTTTCAGACGCACCTGGTTTTTTCCCTCCTTCGTTTCCTCCCTTCAAATATTTCGTATATTTTACATGTAAAATGCACTTTTAAGACAATTTCATCTGCGTTTTCGTCTCCGCCGGATAATGACTCGCACACGCACACAATTACGTGCAATTTGTCGTACTTATCGACGCGAGCATCGTGACCGCGGCGTGTACATGATACAACGTGCTCTTTCATGAATGCTAGCCCACGGCAGGAATACACGATGTCCCTGACCGATTGCGGTTACTTTTCACCGTAAATACCGTCTGCGAATTGTGCCGAGGCGAAGCATGTTCGCGAGATCGTCGAGCGATGAATAGCCTTTCAATGGAAAACAATTCATGACGCATCATTTGAGTTGCGCTCAAAAGTGTTGAAACCTACGTTGCAGCCTGTTGAGTTTTAATTTGGTTCCTTTTGTTATTCGTAGGACTACTACACCGCTCGTGTTCGTTCAAAGATCAATTGTTCATGAATTTCGATTTGTCAATTGAAAGGGACAAAGCTGTTTATAGAGACTTCATATATCGGTGGCTTCGCGTTTTGCATACCTTAATTCAAGGCCGCACTACGTAATCGGCTCTTCTTGGCTGATCGGTTTTCAATGACTTTTATATAAATTAAACCAATTTTCCTTCAGCAAAAGAGGTTACAGCTACGATGCGAGTATTAGCTCATATTCTATCACATATCATGAGATTTAATTTGGACTTACGATAGAGATACTTTATCTAATTATAAATATATAGATATTGCAAAATCAAATAATTTTGGCTCAATCTCGAGTTCGATTTGAAATTAATTGATTTTTAGGACCGTTTTGATTTGATATTTACTAGATATTCTATTGATCTTCAAAAGAAGATGCACATTTTATCGATGCATGTTGATAAAATATCGATTTTCTTCGAAGATCAATAGAAAATGTAATCTATATCAAACGATCCGAAAAATCAATCGATATTGATTTGATTTCGATTATGAACCAGGGAAGTTTTAAAAATGCTTAAACAGAATATTAAAATATTACTTTCTGATTTTGGACATATTGTCTACTTTCTAAAATCTTTAAAGTGGAATCTAATTTTAAAGAATGACAATTGAGCCAATGTTGAAAAAAGATGGCTCAATTATCAATTTTTAAGAGTGAGATTTCTTTAGAGTTAGATTCTATTCCAAAGATTTTAGAAAGTAGGTATTTTTTTAATTTGGGCCAAAGTTATATAAATAAATTTATTTTTTTTAATTTTATAAATTGATAAATTTGACTCGAGTTATCCATTTTACGATATAAAATACAGAAGAAAACGATTATCTCATACTGTGGTACCTGCAGCATAATTTTCCGTCCGATATCCAACATACATTATTTCGACGATCAAAATCATCCGTGCGGCGATAAATTCATAGACCTTATCGGATTCACTTGTAACTATCATAATGCTACTACGCATTAAAGTGGATCGTCGGTCGCGATCAAATGCACGTATTGTATTACCTTTATAAAAGCGAAAGAGAGCCATCGGGGCCGGCAGCTGTTGCCTGACACGCGAGCTGGAAAAGCAGCTCTTTTCACCTGCCTGCCCGAGTCGAACGAGACTAATTGTGAGATAACGCCTTCTTAATATTTCTGCCCTCGCAATAAATGGTTCGTACAGCGCGATATCCCGAAGACCTTGACGTGTCGTTCGCGACGATGAAAATGTAAGAGCTCCACTTAACATTTTACGTTTGTAGATTAGTTTGATATTATCTCTTAATGAAACGATGTCGCTTAATAAAAATATCTTGTATGAAATAGCATCACATGAAAGGAAACGTGCCCACGGATTGATATTTGTTCAAGCATTTGTTATTTTCCTTTACACATTATACATCAAAGGTCTCATGTCGTTTAATGACCTGACTTTATTTAAATTCACGTTAAGATCGTCTGTTCAATTACGTGCACAATCGATTTATATGTACATAATGTATATATCCAAATGTTTAACTTTTTGTGCTACTCACAGATCGATCAAAAAATTGTCAAGAAATAATTTCGATTTTAGGTGCAGATTAGCCTCGCTTCGTAATGTTAAATATTGTGCTAATTACGACTCTAATTAAAATGTGTCTTGAAGTCAAGATTAATCAGCGGACAATCTATATTATCTCAATTTGCTTGCGGCATTTAGAAGAGGCATTGTGTTCAGATAGGAATATGAAGATTCGCATAAGAGCTGAATAAAAATGCATGCGTGCAAACGATAGAGGCGATGCACGCGAGGCTAGTTTTTCGTCTCGCCGTTTCCCTTACACACGCACGCACATATGTGATTGTTTCGGATCGCGCCGTTGTCGCGGAAATGCGAATTCGCACGCTCGAGATGATATTCATAATACGGTGCCATTAATTACTCATTGTCTTTGCGACGGTACCGCAACCATCCCTCTTTTCTTTCCGTGTCTCCTTCCTATCGTTGCTGTCTTACTCGTAAATGTACGTCACGCATTCGAGCAAATCATAATAAGATATGCAACATGTCGGACAGAAGGTGTGATACGGTCCCTCTCTATTATTTTTTTTCCACCTTATTACGATTTCCTTCTATCGGGAGAAAGAGAGAGAGAATGAAGGAGATTGGCGTATCCTTTTCGTAAGACGGCGCCGGAAATGGCGGACAACACGGAGGAATACACGTGTACAATTACAGATACATTATTCATTAAATTGTAGACCGAACATGTTTATAAGTATATTAATAACGCGCGCGCACTTTGCGTCAACGTGAAAGCACGTGATTTGTGAACATTGTGTTCGCGTGATATTTTACACGCTCGTCGAACGAGAATATTGTTCGTCTTTTAATTTGCCTAATTATCGATACGCTCTCCTTACTCCTGAACATAATTAATATCTATATAAGTGTATTTAAACGTCGCTACGGAAAGATCGGAGATACGTCCATTTATTCTTTAAACGATTGAAAACGTTATGCCTTGTACTAAAATATATATATCAAAGAGATCCTCAAATAAGATATTGGATATCTTTTCAACCCATTTCTATCAATGTAGATTAATTTTAATCTTGATTTAATTTACTCTTTATCTTTTTCTTTTTCTATTATATAAAATTAAAAGAAGATAAAAAGTCAGTTAAAGTCGAGATTAAAATTAATTTACATTAGCAGAAATGGATATTAGGCAATTTTTGATTGTCCACCATATTTAGGATGTGCTTAAGATAAAATGAAATGAATATCTCATTCTATTTTAAGTGTTTAATCTATCTATATTTAGAATAATATCTAATGTTACTTGAAGATCTCTACGTCAAATTATTGTCATTGCATTTTAGGGATACACACCTTTGCATATCGCTATGCAATTTGGCCACGAGAACATATTCAATCTCTTAGTTCAAGTATACGGTGAGTATGCATTTTCTCTGTGAAATGACAAAACCCCGTAATGATCGCATGATTTAATGACGGATTTTGAAAATATATTTTCAGGCGCGAATCAGGACATTCGTGACTACAGCGGTAGGAAGGCCAGACAGTATCTAGCCTCGCAAGAGGCGGCAGTCAGCCAGGACACGTTCCACAGTAAGTACATTCTCTTTATGAAGGAAGACGTTACTTAGAGAAGCGAAATGCAACTTTTGTACATAATCTGCGAAGGGTTGCGTTTGCGTGGATATTCTGAGATATTCTTCATAATTAGCATTAGTTCCTTCAATAGTATACAAAAAGAACAGTTTTACTGAAATACGTAAAAATGTAACTAGATATAGATTTGAAAATAATTTTGTTTGGCTGTGAAACAAATTATGTAAAATTTTTAAGCATGAGGATGTTGTAAAAAATTTTAACATTCTAAAAATTAATTTGAGCGTTCTACATAATTATTTTGATAATCCAACGAAATTAATTTCAGATTTGTGTATCTAGTTAAATTTTTAAATACTTCAGTAAAACTGTTCTTTTCGTGTATGATATTAACGTCTCTAATTCGTATATTACGAATTAATGGCGTCTTTTATAAATATGACTTATGAGACTATTTTTGAGAACTTTAACTATAAGCTGTACAAAGCAATCTTCTCGCCCACTTTCGAGAATATAGTACACGTTATTTTCATTCATTTGTCGATTTAAGAAAAACAACCCGTTTCGTGTTGACGAACAAGATCACGACGACGTTTTATAAATTATTCATACCAATCCTCCCTTTCTCCCCGTCGTCTCACATATGCGAAATTGCAGCGAAAGTTTGACCGTGGGATATTAAAATCTTTTTTTTCACATATTGTACGAATCTTCTTTTTTTTCACATGTTATCTATCAAATAAGACATTGTTCGTTTCACGCTATGAAAACGGGGGCCGTAGAAAGAAAGCAGTTTGCATAACGTGAATACAAAAGATACATAATCGCCGTCTGGAAAAGTTGTCTAAAAGAATTCCCGATCCTGTGCCAAACGCGCCCCGACCATCGCTTACGTCGCCGCCGTAAAACCAATTACGCCTCGTAATATACTGTAATTTACACCGTTTGTCAGTGTGAGTCCCGTCAAAGTTCCGTTGCTTTCCACCGTGTATCCCTTGTCGATCATTGTTCATCATTCTCCCGCTCGTTTTCGTGACGTTTGCTTGTCACGCTCCAGCACGGTCCGTTAACAGTCGATTCCACCTAATCTTTGAAGATCGCATATGATGCAGCAACGATATTGTTAGTACCTTGCAAGATAGTATTCTCAGACTAGATACTCCGCGTGCTTACATCTGGACTTTATCTTAACATCGCTATTTCTGCATATCGCTAAATTTCGCACGTCTATTAACATCCTTGCTGTAGTAACTCTGCTATGATTAACTCTCAATATATATCGTTACCAGCAATACTGTGTAGGTAACAATGCATCTTCAAGCTAGGATATCTAGGATATTTTTCTATCGCTTTAGATGCCTCTTTAGATTTATTAGGTGTATAGACGTAGGTCAGGCATGACGTGACGCGGTATTCGGAATAGTCGAAATGGAGAATGGTTACGGGCTCGCTCTTCGGTGAGTATTTCGGGGCTCTGGAAGTATTCTTCTGTTGTAGGGATTACTGCTGCCGCTACACTCAGGCAAGTTCAGAAGCACACCTCCGCTAAAGTAGTAAAGCGCTTGTGTGTCGCCAGATTAAAGTACGTAGGCGCACCTTAGAGTAACGTATGACTGTCACTTTTCTGCACTTCTGACGTGAGTATCTCGAAGTTTCACGGGCCTCGCTGCGCGAGTGTGTGTACGCTCCAGAGACTCGCCCGAGGATATCATTTGCCGAAAGAAGCGAGCGTTGAACACGAACCCGTTTTGCTTCTGGCGCTTTACGAGCAATGTTCGTTCCCCTGCTAAACGTCTGAAATGTCGAAAATGTGTTGATGTTGAAAGAGTTTACAGTAGTTTTGACGTACTTATTCCAGGAGTAACAACTCTGTTGATGTGCATAAATATTCACTTCTAACATATTGGATCATCTAAAAACCGCGGATACTTTTTAGATGACCCAATATATTCACTTCAGAAATTAATTTATTTAATATATAATCAATTATTAGTAACGAAACAATCTCTTTTCGTGCGTAACATACGTGTACATTCCGTTTCCTTTTCATCGATAAATGTTGATCATACGTTTCGCAATGGCTATGAAACATAAATTATTCAAGTGGCAGTAGTACATCGTCGTAGAAAATTAATATTATGTAACTGGCAATGTGAAGTGAAATTAATCTTGGAATTGAACTTGTAATTTTTTATGTCATAAATAATGAAGCGTTGACACAAATTAAAACATAATAAGACTCTCTACTCCTGCATCGTCATTTATTTTATCGTTATATAAGATATTTCGTTTCACATCATTGCTACTATTATTTGTTATTGTTTTTGTGTACGTGATAGAGAGAGAGAGAGAGAGAGAGAGAGAGAGAGAGAGAGAGAGAGAGAGTGCGTGTGTAATGTGTTATAACTTAAATAGAGCATGTACACGTAAGCATGAGAAGCACATACATACATATCACATCAGCCGATTCTCAGCATCACGTTTTATTCACACTGGATAATTATTATATCTGATAACAATGACAGGACGTGTAATTCTCGAAAGGGAAAGTAGACTCAATTTTTATACTAATTTATTTAACCGTATTATTAACTTCCCGTTGACTCCCCTATTCTTTCTATCTAATTCTATATTACGTGAATTATACTTTTATTAATTATACGAAATAATTTACACACACACACACACACACACACACACACACACACACACACACACACACACACACGTTAAGATTATTTTTTAATTACAGATTTGTTATTAACAAAATTTGTGCGTATAAAGCTGCTTCTCTTTAGACTTTATTAAGTATATTAGCCATAATTAATACATCCCGCAATATCGTATTTTTTAATCAATAGCTTCTTTTTCTTTTTACTCGATTCTAACTCACTTGCAATATTCTTTTATCAATCTTCCCCTTTTCTCGCTGTCTGTACGAGACACAGTTTCAAATGATTTTCTATTTTATTTCAGAAATAAAAGCAAGGAAAAAGCATGCAGGTAAGAAATAATTCCTTTGGTGTCCGAGCGTTTTAGTAGAGCGTTTTAGAGACTAACTTAGCGCATGAGAAACAAGCTAAATAGACATTAACACCAAAGCATTAGTTTCCTTTTCATTCCGTCAATTTTATAGTTTTAATAACCCCGCTTATAATCGTATAGTGTCAGTTTTGATTTTATAATAATCGAAGAGTATTATATTTCCATTGTAGAATTATTTAACGTAAAAAAATATAAATGGTCATCAGAGATATACGCGAGTCTATCGATTGGCCGTATTCTTCCATTGTAAAAGTTACGTTGTAATAAGTAAGACAACTGCAAGAGCATCGTAACAGAGCGATTGATTGAATACACAGAGAAAGATCTTGGTTTCCTACGAATTGGCTCGTTGAACGTTCGCGTGAAACGTACTACGGAAGCCTTCAGCCAATTCCTGGGTGTGGCAACCAGCAGTACGACTAACAACAACAACGAGAAGATTCATAAATCGTGGGGATCCGCAGATAACGTTCAGGTATTATTCTCTTGGATTCAATGTGTCATATATCGAATTGAACACGTTACAGATTAAGATAATGCATAAATTTCATAATGAAAAATATACGTATTTAGTTTCTTTGATTAAATATGTCTGTTCGCGTTGCTTGAAATCCCCAAAAAAGTACGCACTGTATATATATGTATAATTATATATTACATTATCTAATAAAAAATATATGAATATTTATAATAGAAATATATAATTATACAAATTAATAGAATTCTATAAGTAGAATAAAGGCAAATGCACACATATTGGTTAATATAATCATTAATAACGCATGCAGTGTTACTGTCCATTCTAATTTCTCGTGTTTCGCTGTGACGTTTCTTGTCGCAAGCTGGAGCAGAAGTTGATGCCACCGCCGAAGTACGCGCCCATCAAGAAGCGCAGGAGCAGACGGCCGCAGGATTTCGGTTCATCGCAGGAGCGGCAGCAGGTCGCCAGTCAACCAACCACTCCGTTGCTGCAAGGTAAGATGAGCCGACCGAATCGGACTGTTCAGCGTCGACCAACGTCTACGACATCGATCAACTCCAACTCCATCGCGTCTGGTGGCGTCCAGCAAAACGGCGATTCCGACTCCGACACGACGTGCGGTTTCGATTCCGCGTGGAGAGGGTCGGCCCAATTGTAACTAGCTTAATTCGTTATTCTAGATAGCGTCGCTCATGCTTATTCGACTGCACAAAACATAGGAAAGCTTAGGACTTAAAAAGCTTTAGGGATCGACAGTATCTCTAACAATTCTTTCAAAAATGGTGAAAACGAAGATCTATATACACGATTCTTGCCAACGATTGCACTTACGTTAAAGACTTTTTAACTTTACACAAAACAATATTTAGAAAATTATTTTTCTTGAATTCTTGTTTCGCAGGACCTTATTGTTTATGACACAAAAAATCTGATAATATAAATTGTGAATGTTTCAGATACAATTTCTTCATGAAAATTTTATTGTATGTGATTCTTGTTTTCTTCAATAAGTTTATTAAATAATTTATTTTTTATATTTAAAATTATTTGATGTGTTTAAAATAAATTACATGATCTTGTCATTCTTTATTTCAGTCAAAATCAAGTTTAATTTCAAATTTTGTATATAAAATAAATATATTTTTTATGTACTTTATTTACATGTAGAAATACATTATATATCACACTAGAAATCACAAAATATATTTTAAATTTACAGAACAAATTTTTTTATAGATAGTTTCACGATATGTACAATTTCTATGTCTATATTCACGATACTGTTAGCATTGTACATACGTTGTTCATATATTAGCATTTTACGCATAAAATTTTAAACAATTCGGTGCTTAATCATATGATAACTAATATTTAAGATTTATTTTATTAACGCAGAAAATGTTTCTATGCATACTTAACAATAAGAAATGTTAAACGTTGTATCACTAATAAGCATACAGAGCGACAGTTATTATTTATATCGTATTTTATATCATTTAAGCAATAAACATCACATTTGAGATTACATTGAAATATTTTATCTTTGATCTCTTATATAGAAGACTATTTTAGATTGATTATACACATACCAACAATATATAAATTATTACTTCTTTTTATAAGATAAATAATATCCGAGTTTATTGTGGCACATGTATTTTATATTTTTTATATACTTTTTATAGTTGCTACAATTTTATAATTAATTTCGTAGTCATTTAATTTTTTGATTCTCTTTAATTCTATCATTATTAACTCAGTTTATTAGCCAAAAAATTAGTGTACATTACAATACATTGCTGCATGATTTCCAATAAAACAATCTTCGTTGTTCTATCTTTTTATTATGAAAAACATAAGGATCTTTATTTGATACGGCTACATGAATAAATTAGTATTTGTTTTCATCTTCATTTATTTTATATCTGTCAAATGGAACATAAAGTATACTTTATAGATTAAGAAAAAAGAAACCAATTCAAGTTGGTCAAACACTAAATTTTAAAGAAATAAACATAATAAAACATCAGAATAAGAGTATTTTTATTTTATTAGATATATATATTTCGTAGAACGGACAAGAAAAGAAACCAACACACATACTAAAGTATAAATCTTAAAAAATAAACAGTAAATTAAAATAAATATTTTTGTCATTAGAGATACAGTTCATAAATAAAATCCGTTTTTTATTCCTGTATTTTTTGAACTGGTGTGCACCAAACAAAAATTTATATTTTGTAGAATAAAATAAAAATTTTAAAGTAAAAATTATATTTTGTGTGTGTATATATATATATATATATATGTATGTATGTACACACACACACACACACACACAAAACTATGCTTATTGATAACATCACATATCATTAACTGAAATAAGTTTAGTTTTCTAGGATTCCTTGGTATAATTCCCTTCAGTCTTTTTCTAGGATAAACGCCTCTTTTAAATTACGATGAAAGTTCAATCTCAAGAACGGCCATGTTTTTTTTGTTCTAAATTCAAAAGGTGATATCTTCTCATTAAAGAAGATATCGTTAATGAGAAACGAAAATTATACAGGAATTGCAGAATCAAGATTTGAACAATGATTTTTCCTTTCGCTATCTTAATTCCGCAAAGTTCTGTATAATCTCCATTTTTCATGAATGATGTCTTCTTTACAATTTCTTCTGTAATTGGGATTGTTGAAATAGAGATTATTATCTGACAATGAGAATAAAACGAATGGCTCTGAGAATAAAAGATCTAATTTAAAATATTTTTATCATAAATAAATGACTTCTTCTAGACAAATATTAAATTTCATAGGTCTTTGAAAGAGACTTGAAATTTTATATTTGTTTTAATATCTCGTGAGACGATATGTTAACTTCTGAAAGTATATCTACATTAGGCCAGAGTTATTTATGTTAGTTATTCTTCTAGAGCTTATGACCTTTCTCCAGAAGTGTTAATGTAAGATTCAAGTCTTTCAAAACATTTTAAATAGGGAGAAAGTAACTCTGGATATAATATCTCAAATAAAAGGCAACATCATAAACAACTTGAGTAAGTTCAACAAATTGAGAGCACATAGGAATTATAATATTTAACTTTTTCCATACTATGTTTGTTTTTTTGCAATCAATGTCTTCATGAAGACATTTAGCTATAAAAAGAAATCGGAAAACTTCAGTTTCATGACATATTGCATTAATTAGAGCTTGAAGATAGAGGTGTGTCATCTTTTCTGCAAATGTATTGCAGGAAATGGTGTTTTCGCATGGATACGATTTAATTTTTCAGAATTCACTGCAACAGTTTTTGCAGTGAATATTCTGAAAAAAAATCCTTTTCTTCTCTGGAAGAATATCAAGATTGCTGAATGTAATAAACAGAAATCGAACTCACCTAGAATATCCTTATAAGGGGCTTCTCTCCGCGGTTAGACATTGAAGGATAATTCAATTCCGGACCAGACAATTTTGATTGTGGTAATGATTTCCACTATACGTTCTCACTATGGATCTTAAAAAATTCGTATTGTTCGTTTGACTCTCTTTAAAAGAAAGAAGATAAGGACGCTTCGTTTGCTTCTCATTTTCACTCATAATGAAGAAAATTCGAGAACTTCGTTTTAGATAAATTATAAATCCAGCTTTATAGTTTCACTTTTCCTTCTATTAAATTCGTTGTGTTCTATCTTTGTTGCATCTTCGATGTATGTTCTGGCGACATCCTTGCACGACCAAGAGAAACTTTCAACTCGAAAGGTAAGCAAGTCGTTCTCTCCTTAGGTAACGTTTTGCCGTGTATTTTTTCTGACTTTAAACGCCAGATGGAGGCAACTCATCCCACAATGGAGGTTAGTGGAGGACGTAGAACTGATGGAAGTCGTGGAACAAATGTGAAAAGAAGTATGTGAACGATGTGAACACTACCAGAGGTAGTTGAGGGTGAGAACGACTTGGAACGTTGGAACTTGGAACTATATGTCATTAGACTGCATTGAACACATGTGTTGGTTCTCATTGATATTCTTTTCCCAAGCTGCGATGACAATTAACGACAAGTAGGTTTCTCGCCAAAAAAAAAAACGGGACATTCCACTCCTGCGTCTCGCGTGCACGAGAAAGATGTACGACATATGCCATCCCAGCGTGAGTAATCGTTTTACTCGGATAATCAAAAAAATGTGTGCGATCTCTTTAGTCCGAGAATGTGCATGCCTATGTATGTATAAATATTTCGTACGTAAGATTATTTTGCAATCGTTCTCAATGTACGCTTGCAGTATTATCATCTGTGCAAACTTGGCTGTAATGACGCGATAAAAACGAGCACCGCCTTTTATGTCTACATTGAAATATGCGAAGGTATTGTATTTAATTTAAGGGGGTGGCAAACGCGAAATCTATCCTTGTGACGATTTTTCAGTGAAGCGATACTGGGATGTCAAATACAAATATAACGAAGAACTTGACGTGATCTATTTCGAAGTGAAGAAAAGGGAGAATTCTCAGGCAGAGATCTATGTGCCTTGGCCAACGAAATACAATATCTGCTTGGACAAGATTGAGAAAATGCAACAATTATTGCAAAATAAACGGTAATTTTGCGATTTTATTTCATTCTTAATTTTCACGTATCTTGGATATTTTTGTAACATGGTTCTATTCCTGTTCTTTTTAGTTGACTTCTTACACGATTCATCTTTCTTTTTTTCTAAAAAAAATTCTAAAAAAGAACTGACCTAATAATGAATATATATTATTATATTTCTAAATAATAAAATTTGATTCAACAGATTGACATTCGTATTTAAATCAGAAGATAGCAGTAGTGTTTTCTATACAGTGACCACTGGCCTCTCAAAACCAGCTACACCAGAAACGAGTAAACAACAAAAAGAAAAAGCCGAAAAGATACTTAACCTAGAAAGTGAAATTCGAAGAAATACATCAAATTTATATGAATTAGCAAAGACTTTAAGTTCTACTCACGAAACTAGCGAACAAATTGATTTAAATACTACAGACTCTTTGAATATTGAACATCCTAGTGTGGAGATATTATGATACTTTTCTTTTACTTAATTTATAATTTTGATCTCATCTATGTCTGTTGTCTGTATATTGGTATTTATCTTTTTTTATTACACACTTTACAGCTTATGTATCAAACACATAACAGTTAAACACGTAAAAAGTACTGACACGTTGGAAATAAATCTTCTAATATGAATATATTGTAATTTTTGAACATAATAAAATAATTTTCGTTGCAATAAAAAAGTAAACCATGTTTATTAGAGAAGGTGCATTTAAAAATAGGGAGAGATATATTTATTTTTAATATTTATTTTTTAAAGTAATTCACATATATAATGCGGATTTTAAGAATACTTCTAAAGATTGCATAATTGTTTAAAGTGATATGTGATAAGCTGCCACTGCAAATATATGAATGAAATAAATTAATTTAAAAAAATTTTCATCTCTAGCCATGTATTATTAGTAGTCGCTACAAAATACGAGGCACATAAATTTCCTTATTATAAAACTAATGATAAACATAGCGAACATTTTAACCAAACTTATATCTATAGTAATTTCTATGTAATTATGTTATATATAAAAAAATACGTATAACGAAATAATCTAATAAATCTTTATAAATCAAGAGTAAATCTATCTACAAAACACCATAAGATGTTTGTATATATGTACATAAAAATTTTAAATTATCGCATTTTGGACCATACATATGTTCCATAAAATCATTAAATAATTTAATTCTTTCTGTAAAAAGCTGCATATATCAGTGGAAAAAATAATTTGTTCACACACGATGCCATCTTCTAACATATACCAAGTTACACATTATAAAACGGAAAATATAAAATGATATGAGATTTGATGTAAAAATATTATCATTTAAAATCGTTTTAAAAGATAAAGTTTTCAAAGATTGTAGACTTCGGCAGTTGAAAGTAGCATAAAAAGGATAATATTGCATAGTTTTTTTCAGCTATGTAAAATACAAAAATAACATACACGTCAATGGACATCTAGAATCTAGAATGTTATTTTTTGCGAAATGTAAATAATTTCATTATTAAATTAATGAAAGATTAGGGTTTTCTCTCACGCAAGATCCATTTCAAATTGCTTCACAAATTACAATATATTTTTTTCTGCCTGTTTTACTACTAAAAGCGTTGTCACGTAAATTTTCATAAATTTTATATTCTTTACTTCAGAGCTGTATAATATCAAAAAGGTCGGATTTAAAACTTTATATACACTAATAGAAAACAGGCATATAAAAAATTATTCATATCTTTCAAATTATCTTCCACTGTCGTATATTATGTTCAAGATTCAAAAATATTTTAGGAATACCTAAAATATTTTTCTACAGATCTGAACTCATCCTGCATGTATAAGAATTATATATAAAATAGATACCAAAATGGTTATATATGTATATAAATTTATAATTGCAGTAAGGCAACTAGATCTCGAGATACTCGAATCTATCACTAATGACACGGTTAACTTTTCATGACAATATTCAATATTGAAAAAGTAATTTCACAAGGTAAATTCACAAGTAATTCTGGTCATTACATATTTACGTCTTATTAATATTAAAAAGAGCAATATTGAAAATAAAACTTAGTAAATCTCACTAACATAGATAATATTTCAGCAATCAATATTTACATTTAACAAAATCAGATTTAATTATATTTTAATTTCATAGTATGACAAATTGAACAAATCTACAATAAAATTAAATGAACTATTATAATCAAGTTATACATTTACCAAGTTCTATTTGAAATATCTCATTTTATATCTCATCGTTATAAAGTCCTTAGTTCAATCTTCAATTTTAATTCTAAAACATACATATAGAGATAAATGACAGGTCGAAAAGTTTATATACAATATCGGATTACTTCTTACTATAATAGCCAGTAATTTTTCCTAGTTCTATTGCATATTACATATCAAAAATTGTTCGATTATTGTAGGCACCTTTTAAGAGATGGGTGAAGTGTATCATGGGTTACCTTTAATTAGATTGTGTATATGTGGAAGTTCTACAGAAAGAATCGAAATCTTATAAAGGATTAATTATTAAATTCTAAAGTTACAATATGTAGATAATAGCATCTGTAAAGAAGAGTTCTGTAATAATTATAAGAAAAATTAATTTAAAAGTTTTTCGTAAGTAAAATCTAATAGCTACTTCAATATTACACAGCTTTCAAATCATATCATCTCTGCAAAAATTAAAATCGAATCTTAAAAGATGTTCAAGTATGTTCATAGTAAAACGTGGACACGTCTTACAATAATAATTTGTTGTAAAGTTAATTAAAATTGATCGTACAATACTATACGAATAATTATTGAACATAGAAATATCATTCATTATTCTTTCGACACTTTTGGTTATATATTTTATATATACATGATATGAAGCACATGAACTAGTAAAAGTATCTTATAAACTAGAATATGAATGTACATAATTAAAATGATGAAATATAGTAGGGATGAAATATAATTGGGATACATGTTAAACGAACCTAAAGGACCTTTGATATATAATATTGTGCTGCTTCACATGATGTCATTGGACTCGTATGTATGTCTAACGTCACCGTTCTTGCAAAATTAGCTATACATGGATTAAATTTCCAATTATCATAACACACAATATATGATTAGTTTAATCGAAATGCTAAATATTACTGTCAAAATGATCATTGTTGTTGCACATACATAGCGCCATTTCAATTTCAATTCTTTATCACATGAGCATGAGCAAGTATAGCTACATTTTGATTTACTTTATGCTTTCTTAATGAATGTGTTAATATTTTTGTTATTATTATGATTATCCTTTAAGTTCCGTAAGGATATATAAAATCTTTGAGTAATATTGCATGTATTACTGTACATAATTAGCAATATACAGATAACGAAACGTTGAAAATAATATATATCTTCACGCAAAAGGACATCCATACATATTTAATACTAAGCTTTAGCAACAGGACAATGTCTGGAGATCACTTTTGCAAATGTAATCTAAAATTATTCTCAGTTATATGCAAAAAAAAACTTCTTTGTCGAAAGATTAATAGGCTTCATTCGCTTTCTCCTTTACTTGACAAGAATGATTGATTGGAACCTCTTAACTTTTAAAAATATGATCATAAATTCATACAATATTACTTTATCCAACCAGAGATTGTAAATTCATGTATATCAACTATTTACTAAAAATGTACATACAACTCATAACATTAGCGGAAAACCTGAGATTCGATAAAAGAAGTTTCTAAAGCGAACTTCACACTACAAGATGATTCTTGATGAATGTTATTCTCTGAAAACTTTATATATTTTCGCATTGTCCCTTACAAATAATTAACACTATATAATTCCTAGCATTCAGTACATTTTCAAAAACATTCTAATTTACCATGAGGGCTAAACAAAAAAAAACGTACTTTGGGAAACCAAAAAGTTAGAAAGATTCTGACGTAATTGTAGTCTAAAGAACTGTCAGAGTCAAATTAAAAGGGCAATCTCAGAAAAGGCAGATTTTCAAAACAATGAACAACTAAGTTGCATTCGTCATACAAGATGGTTCTTCTTCAGAACGACTATCCAGGATTTGTGACTGGAATGTCTATGCAAGAGGTCCATCTGATCATACAGTTTGTATCAATACAAAGATCAAAAATTGAAATGAGTTGACTCATTTTTGGTGAATTTTTAGCTAATATATTGTTGCGCTATAAAAAGCGTTTTCAATTTTAAGATTATTATTATTTTACCATGTTTATATCTTCGAAACTCAGACAATCAAATAACCAAAAAATCAATAACCAAAAAAGAAATTTTCTCTTATGGATGGGCAATTTTTTCACTGTTCCCAAACTTTCTATATGTGCAACCGAAAGTGTTGGGAATAACTCATGATAAGAAAACATTTGTTTCCAATTCTTCTAACCAGCTTATTAATGAACATGAAATGACGGATACTATGAGGACCACTTACAACAGAGATTCACAATCTATATGAAGAGATACCTTGTTTAGGGATTCTTAGCGAAGTCATTCGCTAAACAATGAGCAATCGAGAGCACCAGAATTATATTCATCCGCACCAGAATTATATTCATCATATTAGTTGAGAGCATGATATCAAATAGAAGAGATATATAGATCTTTTAAGTTTTTAGCCTCTTGGTAATCGTTGCAACAAAGCGAAGAAATTAGTTCAAAAATGGCAGATGGTTTTTTGGAATATTCAAATAATATAGAAACAAATATCTTTTGTTATAACGATTATTTTAGTTCGAACAGAAGACATTCAGAATGTCTTCGATTGATTTCAAGATGATGGTTTGAGATTGATTATACGATTGATCAGTTAGATCAGTCTAGATGTATACTGTGATCAATGATCAACAGTGATCATTGTTACAATTCATATGATTATACTCAAGAAGTTAGATGAGATGTTAGTCTCACTAATTAATAGATCTCAACTTATGGAGCTGCATTCATGTACACACCACTTTGGTTGAAAAATTTCTCTTGTAAATGTGCCTACTGTGATCATTAACATAGTATCCAAAATAAAAAATCTATACATGATGTATGACATATGATATATATTGCTCAGATAAACAAACGTAAATACTACCGGCTGCGCAATTTCATAACATGAAGCAACTTTTTCTTCATTATGTTGATATTTTCTCATAGGGAAAATATACATCAACATAAACTAATCGTAATAATTAATATCTCTATTAATTATTACGGCTAGCACCAATCAGCCATATAAGTAAAGTCTTTAAATAGACTCTGCTCTAGGTCGCTAAGAGGCCGAGGATCTTTTGGAGGCGTTAGTTGTGGCTTCTCTGATGTAAACTCTTCATCGAAATTACTTACATCTTCCACTGAATGCTAATAACAGAGAAATATTTCCATGCAAATATTACATTAAAAAAAATATCTAATTTATTTCTGATATTTCAACTGATATTTAAAATTTATCCATGACAAAATAGATGTAATTTCTTTCTCTCTTATGTATTCAAATTTGAATTTATAAATTAATACTTACAATTACTGGTACGAAAGGTGGTTTCACACGTCTTAGGAGTAAATCATCCCAAGCTATATGTCTGAAAAATGCTTGTTTCTTAACATCTTCGGCGTCTCTTTCACTGCTACCTAATCTCCTTTCTGGATTCTTTCTAAGTAACTATTACAGAAAATACACATGGATAAGTTTTATATAGTGAAACAAAAAAAAATAATAAAATACTTACTCTTCTCATGATTGCAATTGCTTCCAAAGAAAGGAATCTTGGATATCGTACTTCGTCATTTACAATAGAATCAAATACTTCTTCTTCATCATCACCTGGGAAAGGGGACTGAAATACATTTTTATTTAATATTCAATATAAGTATATTTAAAACAAATATATACTAAACTACATAAAAAAAATAAAATTACCTCTCCAACCAACATTTCAAATATTAAGACTCCAAGACCCCACCAATCTACAGCTCGTGTATAAGAAGTTTCTGTTAGCACTTCAGGCGCTAAGAATTCAGGAGTACCGCAGAAAGTACCTGTTCTATCTCCAAATCCCATACCTTCTTTACATAAACCAAAGTCTGCGATTTTAACGTAACCTTCTGTATCTAATAGCAGATTATCTAACTTCAAGTCTCTACAAATGAAATATACTATGAAATATATAAATTATAAAAAAATATATTATTGAATTATTTATATGCCGATTATATACCTGTAAATAATACGATTTTCGTGTAAATATTGCAATCCAAGAACTACACAAGCGGAATAAAACACAGCGCGTGGCTCTCCGAAAACATCAGCATGTATATGCATCATAAGATCACCGCCAGCTGCATATTCCATTACAAAACATACATGTGCCTAAAAAGAATTCATTTTTCTCATTCCCTTCTATCTTAAAAAATGTATTAAAAATATTAGAGTAAAGAACTATTATCCCTACCTCAGTTTGAAAGCACGCAAATAAATTAACGAGAAAAGGATGGCGCGTCGTGTTTGCTACTTCGAATATTCTCTTTTCAGAAAGCAATGATTCCACTTCATCTCTGGCTATAATATCTCCTTTCTTCAAGGCTTTAATTGCGAAGTACTCTCCCGTATTTCTATATTGCGACAGTATTACTTTGCCGAAATGTCCACGACCGAGTACGGAGAGTAATCTGAAATTCTCCAAGGTCATACCAGTGAGCTGAGAATGCCTTCTTGACTCGTAGGCACTATCTCTATATTGAAGAGGTCTAACTGGCATTTCATATACAATCTGAAAGACAAAGTTATAGTTGAAATAACTAGTTATAAAATAATATTTATTACATAAATGAATATTTTAATGCATTATTATTGCTATCGCATTCCACCATTGCTTAGAACCACGTCACAATATAATCTTTTGTATTAACTAATTATCGCTATACATATATATATATATATATACATATGATAATTTATAAAGATAAAAATGAAATAATTTACATTATAAGATAAAGCATTACAAGAAATTATATTTCTTTCTTTAATATTTACATGCAACATACTAAAGCAAGCAAAGCAATGCTGTGTGTACATGGAGGATATGTACCTCATCCTCAGGAAACTCGACGACAGGTTGGGGCGAGGGTGTGCGTGGAGAGGGTGGTGCAATCAGCACAGGGCGGGGCTCTGTCACAAGGGGCCTCAAATTTGCACCCTGAGGCCCGCCCTTTTCCTCGTTGTGCAGAAAATCAAACTCCCTTAATGCACTCTGTAACTACATTGCTGTCTCTTTACCTCTAATTCTTTATTGACTGCAGCAAATTTTAGATTGCGCATCGAAATTGTTTAAATTGGAGACATGCATAGCTATTATTTTAATATATAATTTGAATTTTGAAATACATGTTTTACAATGGCTTGTGATTTATCATAATAGGGAGTTTTTTGTTTTGGGAAATTTTTGTTTTCGAAAAATTGAAAGGATAATATAAATACATATTGCTTTAATCGACTGTACGAGAAAATAAAATTATATCATATTTATTGTAAAATAATTCATATAACGAAAAATAATGGATTTCTTTTTACTACACCTAATATATAGTTGCCACAAATTATATATTCATTTAATAAAGAAAGTGTGTAATGACTACAAGATATTCTCTTAAAGCAAGTGCAAATTAAACTAATACTACCTTTTTATAATTGCAGAAATACATAATATATCTAATAACATGCCCCATCAAAATATATACACATCCATTAGAATTATAATTTTTTAGAAAATGTATCTATTTATCACACATTTATTTTATAAACTATTTTGTCCCATAACCAAGATTCCCAGCCTTGAAATTCTAATATATTGCTACAATCTTCTTGTAAAGTGATTAAAAGTAGACATATCGTAGAAATTACGATATATGAGAATAATAAATTATATGTATTCGTAACATAATGAAAAATGTCCATACACATATCATATAAACTTATAACAATTACGTAACAATTTGCGACATTAGCAATCTTATATATCTTTACATCAAAAGCAAAGATTGACAAATACATATAATGCAATAAACAACATTTCTAACAAACAATACTATCGTGTATCAATATAGAGCATTTTCATTAAAAAATAATGATATATATAGAAATACGTATATACAAAGACTTACCTCTTGATCCAATTTGGGAGGTGGTGTAGGTGCAGGTGTAGGTTTTTTTGTCACAGTTGGTGGCGGTGGAGGAGGATGCTCCGGAGGACGTGGCAGAGTTGGACTACTACTCGATGTTGACATACCTAAAGGCCGTGCGCCACCCAATCCACCTTTCTCCGGATCGGGCACTTCGCCGGGAGTTTCAGGCTTATCTTCTACTGAGGTATCAAATACAAGTTGCAATGGTTGTGGTCCTGCAAATCGAAATGTATTAATTAAACTCTTGGCAAGACTATGCATTTTACGTAGACGAATTTTAATCTTTACCTGACGGTGGACTTTCTGAGCTTCTGGAATTGTGCAATGAAGGCGCCGAACGTTTAAGCAGTCTACCCCACGTCGCGACATTTATATTCATTTGATTTGCTCTTGGGAAATTTTTCACTTGCTGCTTAAAGATTTTGCGTTGACGCTGTAATTTAGGCTTTCGCGATATCATCGGATTTAGGAATTTTATTTCTGCGAACAGAAGGCCTTGTGGTTCCAATTGTAGAGCCATGCCATGTCGAACGTCATCAATGAATTCTTCTAAACGTAAAAACTTAACCGCACAAAGAGATCTCCAATCTTTCCAATAAATGCCTATTTCAAGTTCTCTTGATTTATCAAGCTCAATAGAAAACCTAAAAATTTTTATTGGATACACAAAATGCGCAATTGAATTATTCACATAATTGAGTTAATGCATTAATTAATTAGTATTACCTTTGGTCCCAAGCTTGTTGGGAACATGGACGCCAACTAGTTTGTCCTACGGTTTGATTATCCAATTTTATAACTGCCATAATATCATCTGAAAATAATGATATTTAATAAAAGGATTCAAAGATGTTATTCTCAAAATATCAAAAACTTACTGCTTGTTTCGTCTTTCACACTATATGATTTGCTTGAGCTGCGTCCTGTAACACCTTTAACGAAACTACGTAAATCAGGACTAGCAGGGTGTTCCCTCCTTGTACGCCCAGGCACTTCTTCTGCTAAGTCTTGACATCCCATTAATCTTACCTAAACACATCGCGACATGTATTATAGTACAAAAAAAATAATACCATTGATCAGTTAACTGTCTGTAATGTTCTTCAATATACCTCTAATTGTCCTGTGACAGCTGCGCATCTCGATACTGAAGCTGGTACAGTAGCTTTACCCTCCAAAGGACCGCGAAACGGTTGTAATGATGTATATGTAACAGGAACTGGACTAGCTGACTGAACGCTAGCTAACTCTCTCTTTAACTGAGCTGCGGTACCGCTGTCAGGAGGTAACTCTTGCCTTCTGAGCTCGAGGGACAATCTAAGTAAGTCCAATTTTCTACTGGATTCCGCGAGGCTTGCTTGCGCCTGTAGTAATTTATGATTTATATAATAACGTGCCATTGTGAGCTAAGATATTTAACACCAGTTTAATGATAGCGATTTTGTATATATATATATATATATAAGTAACACACAAATGATGTCCGACATAAATTTATTAACGATGCAATCAATATAATACATCCTTGTTAATTTTTATAAATGCTCAATTTTCAGCAGAATGTGTTTTTTAGCAGTCCTCGTAATAATTAATTTAGATAAAAAAAGCTATGTATATATAGAGTATATGGAATACTTTAAGAAATATAAATTAAGCACACAAATCACAATATACGGGTTTATATTGTCCTTAATCGCCTTTGAATGCAATGGAACGCAATTTATTTTTTAAGCATACAAATCTTATAACATAAATAAATAAAGTGGAAAGGTATTTGTCGTCTTGTAAAAACTAAAGAATCAATATATTTATAATAAAATCCTCAAGAGCTAATGAAATTGAATGTCACTCTTTTCGCGATTTGAAGGCCGGATGACGTTCGAGTTCACTTAATGAAGAAGATCGTCCTCTGCCTCCGTCCTCGAAATATCTTCGACAATGCTCGCACGAACATGTCGGATTTTTCGAGGGACCTATATGATGACCGGGTTTTCGAAACGCACTGACTACTGCTCCAAATTTTGAGGCTTTTAGAATATGTTCAGTTCTTTCTCCATACAGTGTAGTGAAGGGAGACGTTACGCGGGAGGGTATAGTCGAAGGAAGAGGAGAAGGGCTCTTTGATCCAAACGGACCAATATGATCGCGTAAAACATTCGTATAAGGGACATAATCTTTGTGTATCGCAAACCGAGAGTGTTCTTCTTGAGCACTTTTATGCTCCGAGTCTAAATTAGTCACACTAGATTCCTCGATTTGACCTTTGCTCGTACAACAGACGATCGAATCTCTTTTAACAAATCGTGATTTATCATCGCCAGATATGAAACTCCAACCGACTGCTCCGCTCTCGTCGGAATCCTCAGCACTGTCCCCAGACGACCAATTTATTTCATGCTTCTCGAAGTACTCTCTCATCTTCTTATTCTGTAGCAGATGTTTCCGTTCAATTTGCGGCGATCGCCAGATTCTGTTTTTGTCATTGTCAGTTTTTGCCAAAATATCCAATTTCCGTATTCTGTCGCGATCCGCGGCATTGGCGTATTCAAAGCTGTCACAAGGTGTCAAGCCAGATTTACTGTTGATCAGGGATTCAATATCGGAGAATGTGTCCTTTGATGATGTCATAGTTGAATCGTAATCGCATGGCGAAAGAGCCGTGCTGGACGACACTGTGGACCACGGAACGGAATCAAGATCCCGTATCCCGCTGTACGAGCTGAATCGCGAGGGGTAAAGAGAACTCAGAACCTCATCGCTATCGTATCCCTTCGAACTAGCTAACGAGGGCATTCTCATCGGTGCATTTCTGAAACTTGCGCATCGTCGCTCGGCACTGCGCTTCAAAAACGCATTTGCATCTTGAAATCCTCGCGGCAAGTTATCTGCCGCTTGAGTGTGAATGACTTTGACGTCGTCGTTTTCAAAGACGGTCATAGGAGTGCTGTGATTGTCCTCGCTGATCGCGTCTGTGCTGGCATCGTCATCGGATCCTGTGCAATACACATCGATGTGCACCGTTCGCGACTTGCGCTTACTGCTGTCCTCTTTCGCGGATGAGTCCGATTTTTCTGGATCGGTCGAAGGACCGGTACTGGTATTCCCAACCGATGCTGGGGGCGATCGGATTTCCTGCTAAAAGAAGATGATCGTCGCATTTGAGATTCGTGATGAACAATCTGTTTCATATATTTACTGCATGTTGCAGAATCCATGACTCACCTCCTTTTTCTGCTCGCTACGCTGGCTAGCACCAGTACCAAATTTCCTTCTAATTTTGCTACTCTTTACAGTCGACGACGAGCGCACCGATTCGATGTCGGTGGTTTGCGATGCCGCGTCCTTGCTTACCGCAGTGGCCCTACTGGCATTGGCAGTCTTTTCTGCGACGCGAGTGCAAAAATGCGTGGTGAAGGCACTCGATGCGCTTCCTTCCGCACAATCCTCACAGACTTCCGGAACCGTGCTGAATTGATGACGTGAAAAGACGTATTGATGCGGAGTTCGACGGTGCCACTGATCAACAGATGGAACTTTCTCAGGATTAGGCTTATCCGCGCCTACGGTGGATAGTACAATGCTGCACGTGCTTTTGCATCGATGATTGTACTGTTGAGCAGAGCGTCGCCGAATACGTGTGCGGCGAGAACTGTTCGCTGGTATAGCCAGAGTCAGAAACGTTCGCTCGGCCTTTAGATGAGATAGAGTCGTCGTTACCAGACGAGCCCGAGCGTGGCAGAGTATACGATCCGCTTGATTTCTCGGGCGGTGTGGACGTGAAGAGTATATTGCCCCGTTGAAAGCCGTAGCCGCCGGCGGTACTACCAGATGACAGGAAAGCGTTGGACGTGGTGGCTGACGTCGACGTTGATGTCGAGTTCGGTTCGCTCGTGTTCCAGCGGCATATCATGCGAATGCCACCCGCGTCAGTGGTGGTACTAGTACCCGGAGGCATTTGCACGGTCTCGGAGGTCACCGTGTCGCCGTGGCGGATCGTGACTTCGGCGCGCACAAGCCACGGTGGCACCTGGCTCGAGCTACCGTCGCCCGAATTATCCTGACGTCCGTACATCTTGCGCCTCTCTTCCTCCTCAGCCTCCGCCGTGCCTTCATCCATCGCACGACATTATTGTTATCCAATCGGCTCTGCTGCCAGGAAAATACGTCCAAGTGATCTGCTCTCTTCTCCTCCGTACCGAAGAGGTTCTTCTTCTGTTCATGGATTTGAAGTCTCTCTGCTCGAACGTACACAAAATGCCGGCGATTAATCACCCGTGACCATTTATCTCTAATTTTTCATCTAATTTCATAATATATTGAAAAGAAATCTTATATAATGATATCTATTTAAGAGTTGAGCTGCTTGTGCTTCACAATCCCGTTCGTGGCGCAGTTTTTCCCGGAAGGATGGTAATACTGCGGTATTGCATCGCCACCAATCTATTTTCGGGTCCCGTGTTCGAGAACTATCCAAGTGCGTTTCTTTCCGCTTTAACGTTGCAAAATTTTAGCGCCGATAAGAAGATACTTCGATACGATATAGTAATCGTCGCTTTGCATTCTATTATTCTGTACATATAAAATATGTTTAATAGCTGTGACAGCTGTGATGTGTCAATTCATTATTGCATATTACACAATATTTCTGCGATTGTTGCAACCATTGCGGTTTCCATCTCTTGTAAGGCAACAAACCGAGCGACGATGTATATAATTAGCACAATATAAATTTGGAGTAACATACAGTCGCATCAAAAATAATTTTTTAAAATAATGTAGCATTTTTTTATATGCTCGACGGTCACTGACGTAATAATTGTGCGCAATAATAATGCACGGTCAGGTGAGATGTACTACGATACAAAAATCGATGTACAAGTTGCTTAAAAATTTCAATTAAGATTGTAGACTATTCAGTCTCAATAATTGCCGGTAGTCGAGAGTATTCGAAACACAGATATCTTACGTGAGCGTGAAATTATTTACCACGTACAATCTAAAAGGCAACGAATCGATTATTTCTGAGTAACTCGCATACGTTACACACATTCAAACATCCAAGGATCAAACAAGATTTAAACTTCCGCTAAGTAACGGATTGTTTATGGCTCGATTAGAAATGTTTGAGCGTCCAGTTAGTATACAAGTATCCTGACAGCTTAAATCGATTCTAAAGCAGACGTCAGTCTTCTTTGGAGTGCAGCGTTCGAGAAGAGAGCGGAGGGGCGACTCCAAACAGGCTACGATTATTGGGCGGCTTCGTGTCAGTCTTCGAGTTCAGATCATAATTAACAGCCACGCTTATCCGAACGCGTGGTCGATATCTTCTTGGATGTCCACTTGATGGACGTATACATTCCACGGGCGCCTCCTTCGCAGTCGGCCGGTGCACATGTCGTCGGTTTATCGCGGTGCTTACGATACTGGATGATGCCAGTTCTCCTCGAGAGATGGTAACTAAGCGCGACCCGAAAAGGCGTCACGAGAAACGGCGGGGTGGCGCGGGTATTCGGCAAGCTATTTTGAGAGACGCGTATACGCCGCCACCGACCCTCCATGTCGACATGCATTACGCCGACGTCGCCCGCGCGATCCGGCTGTCGACAAGAAGTCGTTTTCGTACTGGCGCAACGGACAAACGCCCCCTCGTCGAAATCACATCACCACTCACATGAGATCTGTCTCCAACACTAATTCTCAAAACTATTATAAATTAATCAATTTACAGAAAATGTTTTCCCAATCAATTGACTTAAAACAATCTAAAAATTTTATAGAAAACATAACGTAGATAGACATCTACGTTAAAAAAAAATTTTTAATATGGCAAATAAGGCAATGGGATATTCTCATATATTTGCTCATTGCGTTTGCTGATTTAAAAGAAAAATATTCATCTTGTTGCGCTAGAAGCGGATTGTCCTCATTGTGCATTTTCACTAAGAGAGTAGTCGGACAATTTCCACGTTATTATCATTTCGAAACAGCTCTGTCGGTGAAGTGACGTAAATGGCTTCCTTTAACGCTACATATACAAACACCTTTCGCAAATTGCGTGTCACACGCAAAACTCCGGCTTCCGTTTCCACGTCGACGGATAGCGAATTGAAAAAGAAATGACCACGTACCTCGGTTAGGGCTTTCTTATCAGCAACTTTGGCACTTTGTAGAAGACGTATCACGTTCTTGGCACCTTCTACAACTGCTGCTTCTATTCGTAATCGATGCCGTAGCTCCTCCACCCTTTCCTCCAACGCGAGCTCCAAACTGGGCTCGTACCTATCTGTAAAAGCATTATATTTATTATTCATATTACATTCGACAAAAAGATTATACTCGCAACGTTAACCATTACTCGTACAAAGCTTTCATTTATCTACAGCGCATGATTATCTTCTTACGTAATGTATCCACCCACGTTTTATAGCGAGGAAAAAGTAAACCATTATACGCGTAACGAATATATCCTTCGACGAACAAAGCGCTTCCTTCCAAGAAATGCCATTTACTACAATAACGAACATATGCAACATTGTACTTTTATAATGAATACACGACACGAATTCCTGGGTGAGATACGAATGTATACCGTGTTCTGAGACAGTTTCATTACCGCAGTAAATGTCAGCTTACTGTCTTCATTCCGTAAACCTCACGTTAACAATGAAATCAGAAATGTATACAGCTTAACTATGGTCGTTCAAACAATTAGAACGATAAAGCTGACGATACGTTCGACAGAATTAAGCAGAACTTCTGATAGCGCGTACATTATTTAAATAAACGAAACATTTCAACTCCCCGATTCACACGCGATACCGTAAATTTATGCTGGTACAACTAATGTCTTTAAGTTTATTGCAATCAATATTGGAGAACTAATTGTTTTATTTGTAGAAAAATATTTGAGAGACGGAGAATATTCTTTCAATCATCTTCTCTTTCTCAATTTCAATCAAATATTGCATACACAAATTATTATTAATAATGATCGGTATGTACCTTTATTACTAGCTGTTTCACCGTTCGGTGGTGGTGCATCGCCTCGTTGTTGCTGCCGTGATTGGCGCACCTTCATAATCCGCATACGTAGGAACTCGATTTTGGCGCGGGAATCATCTAGCATTTGTTGAGCCTCCTGTAGCAGTTTCTTGTCGCGATGGCCACTTGTTAAACTCTGTATCATGTTTTCAGCACCCTGCTTGACCTACCGTGAATATAAAACACATGACATTCTACGTGTATTATTTTATTAAAATTTAATTATAATATATGGCATTGAACGTTAAACGTCCATGTTAAAAGTCCAATGTACAAAAAAATTAACCACTTTGTTAAAAAGAGAAAATAGGAAGGTATAATTGCGAAGGTATAATTAACGCTTCTACATTAATAAGTGATAACTGCAAAGAGTCCGGACGCGTTAGTCTAATTATTTCAAATCCCTGCGTGATGTAACGAGAGATTATTTTTAGTAAGAGAAAAACTATGAGCGACTCACTGCGCTGACTCACGCGAGGCTGATACAAGAAAAGTGAAAGAGAACTATCGAAGTTCTGCGTAATCATTCAGAAAGTTGTACATAACGACTTTGCGAGAATTACATTCTAAATATATATTATTAAGAAGTTATATCGACATATAATATATTTATTATTGAAAGAGATGTTATTTTGTTATCGGTATTCTCCGATATCGCAATTGCTGCTAAAAATCTTGATAAGTGACAGCTTGATATCGCGCAATGTCATCCATGTTCACGGATATCGCAAATGCCTGCTTGAGATTTTGAAATGTATAGCATAATTCAATAGTGTCTCTTCAGCAAACGGATTTTTACCTTCAGTTCGATATTGAGCTGCTTTTCCAAGGACAGAAGCCGAAGATCCGTGAATAGACCTTCCTGACTCGGCGACGAAGGCCCCATCGGTGATAGAGGCGTGTCTGAAACAAAAATAAACGTTCACGAAATAAAAGAATCCTATATGACCTGATGTATCGGTGATACCAATGTTAAACGGCGAACGAAATATCTCTTGATGAAACGGAACACTGTACCAGCTTAAAAAAGTGATCATAAAAAAATAGCCATATACATACACACAAACACATACACACGAGGGAAGTTTGATAAGTCAGTGACTGTCTTTTAATTTTTTTTTGTTTATTAAAATTCCGCTTATTTTTCAACACTCCTTTCGAAAAGTCACTAACTTATCAAACTGCCCACGTATATACATAAATACATACATATATATATATATATGTGTGCGTGCGTGCGTGTGTGTGCGTGTGCGTGTGTGTGTGTGTTTTCTAACACTACGTGCGCTTTCTTTAGCCCGCGGGTATCCTTCTTCACGTTACATCCGGATTTTCCACGTTAGTATATAAGCAACCGCCGCCGTACACATTTTTTCATGTCTGACAGTCTCCATGATTTGACAAGCGAGATCGTACAGCACGCTTGGATCCTACTTTCCATCACCTAGTGCTGACATGCTGAAAACGCCCAGACTCCCACGTATTCAAGCCAAGTATATGGGGGAGTGTGGAAAAAAAGTGATGTCCCGCTTTGTTTCAGGAACACGCCGTTATGAATTTCCCATCGCTTCCTTTTCACCGCGTTCATTCTGCCTGTCTATCATAAACGTCTTCGAGATATAACGGGGGATTATCTGACAATTGCGTCAGACGCTACTCTTGCAGAACGACGGAATCTCTACGTACGCGAATAAACTTATGACCACATTTTATAATACAATAATGCATACACAATGTAGTAATATTAGGATGCGTACGAATAAAATACCGCGTTATATGTAATTCGTACCGGAACGGTGTGGGAATACAAGTCATAATTACGAGCGTTATTTCCGTGCCCGCCGGAACTTTCAACAATTACATTAATCAGTGTACTTTATGTAATTATTTATATATCGCGTTATTCTTTGTTATATTTCGTATATTTTAATGACGCAGACGTGCTCTGATGTTTCCCTAATTGCGAACTCCTCAAGGATATATATAAATAATTGCTTACATAATGCAAACCATTTAAACATATACGAATGTATTCTCTTGAAATGTAAATTAACCCTCTGTCTTCCGTAAGACTTAAAAAAAAAAAAATTCGGATTATTTTTCAACATCTCTATTATCAAATAGTTTTTAATTCAAATGTTATTTAATAAAACTGAATCTAATTAAATATAATTTAATAATTAAAAAATATAAAAATAATTTAATAAATTTGAGCAAAAATGAGGGTGAAATTCAGAATGAAATTTCACGTGCTAAAAAAAGATTCAAATTGCGGATTCAAAACGACGGATTAATTTCAGTATAAAAAATGTCAATTTTTCTTCGTTTCTTCGAACAATTCATTTTACTTTAAACGATAGGTTACATCGTTATTTCAAGGCCGATGTGATTCACGTCGGTCGTTGTCGGCGACGACAACGTTGCATCGTGTATGACTAGCGCACGAATTTAGCTCGTTAGTGCTGCGATGTGGGGCACCCTTTCCTTCATCGAAATATGCCTATTATGCACTCATGCCTGGGCGCGCGGGAAGCTACCGTAAACACGTGCACGGTTCCACGGTTCCGCGATTTCTCTACGCGCGCGCGTACGCACATACGCACATAAGCACGCACGCACGCACGCACGCACGCACGCACGTCGCGATAAACGACGCGTAGTGCCCGTTCAATGCGAATGGGCGAACGCGGACAGACACGCTTTGCACACCGTCTATGCACGAGCATGTCTGACGTGTCCGAATAAGGCGATGAGGGAGCGAGCAGATGCACGATTTTTCACGCGATACTTCAAATACGCTATATCAACAAAAATGTATGTTAATTGTTAGCTTAGAGGTCAGGAATCACATGAATGCCTAAATGATCGGCACGAAAACTAAGTATCTATATTTGTAATGTTATTTATGCTCCTTTAGCATGGAACGCAAGAGATCGTAAATATCCCGAGAAGTTCTGCAAATGTACATATGAATTAGAACTGAAGCCGATTGCATGGGAGATCATTATTTCCGATATGCATAATTCGGATATGCACATTTCGATACTTTACATTTGTTATGGTAAATAGGATGGTTCTGCTGAAGCTAAAAATTTAAATGGATACAGATTTAAAAATGGTTTTTATTATTTTATTAGATAATCAAAATAATCAAAAGAGCGTTTGAACTGGTTGCTAAAACGTAATTATTTTGATGACTTACCAAAATTATTTTCAAATCCATATCTACCACCTAAATTTTTTAATGCATCCGCGAAATCATTCTTTCAGTGCAGGTAGATTTCTTTTTACGAAGCACACTTCTCGGAAAAGAATCTAATCGGCAAGGATTTATTTTTACGACTCCAATCGCAAAGAATTTAATTCCCTGCACATAAAAGTTTATAGATCTTATCAATTCCCGGTGACTCCATCGACAAACCTCTCGAACAATCGCGGGATGGCTATTATTCCCAGGAATCACAAGTAGATATTACGAGAAAATATATCGAGAGAAACGGAGAGCTCGAGTCTGCGCGAATGTGCAAACACGTACCAGGCTTTACAATGCGGCGAAAACGACGGCGGAGGCGGAGGCGGTATAAAAGAGTTTGTGTGGACAATGCGGCATCGAGAGCTCCGCGAAACCGTGTCATTAGCGCAGCTCGGCCGAACACGTGCCCCATTATATTCTGCACTTCTGCCCTTGCCCGCCGTAGCATGCGGAGGTCCGGCGACAAAGGCTTTCCTTGTTTTTGATACCGTCAACTGCACCCATCTACCCACCCTTCCTGATCGCCCTTCCGCCCGTCCTCGTTGCTCTCTCTCTCTCGAACTGCCTCTTTCCCCCTTTTTTTTTTTAACATCCTTTCGCCGAACAAACCGAGAAAGTATCGACGTACGCGAGAGTTTGCGAGGGAAAAAGAAGGAAAAAGAAACGAAAGGGTGGTTGTGCAAAACGCGCAAGGTGGCTGCAGCTATTCGCAGCCACTGTCGTGTGTCGGTTCAATGAACTCGCCGGGCGCGGCGCACGCAACCCTTTCGGTAGGGAGAGTGCGTGCGCTCTCGAGAAACGGATAATTGCTCTCTGCCTTTTGCTCGCAGCGAAAGGAGAAAAGGACAGCGCAGCGACCGCGCGAGATGGTTATGCAAAACGTATCGAGGCGATATGCTACCACCAGTGCTCTGTTAGTCTTTGTACTCAAATGAAAAGTTATTTAAACTCTCTGTTTGCAATTCGAACTTTTTTTGGCGCAAGCAAAATTTCACTCTCAAATTTCAACATCATTTTCGTTCAAATTTTCAATTTTATTAAATAACATTTTTGAGATAAAAAAAATTCTAAATTCTTTGAAGGAACTCTCACTCTAAAGAATGAAAATTAAGCCAGTCTTGAAAAGTGGCTCAATTTTCAATTTTTAAGAGTAAGATTTTCACTATAAAAGTTACTATAAAAGGTTTAGAGAGTAATATAATAGAGATGAAAAGTAAAAAAAATATGTGGGCTGGGAACAAAAAAGACTCAAATTGCAGACGGAAGATTAATATCCTTCAAATCTTGAAAAATATGTCGGAAATATGTAAATCTTTCTATTTTATTATCTTAATATGGAAAGTCGCATTAAAAATTCGTGTAATAATCTCTCAAGAATATACAGAAATTATATACGGTAATTTCTCGCTGGTTATACGCAACTGCAATATGCATTAATGCTATCGCGCGATGCATACTGGTCTTGTCGTCTCTCCATTCCATTCATAACTCTGCTCGCGTCAAAGCTATTCCATCTACAGGAACGTGAGTTAGCGATACGTTCATAAAGTATGAATGCGTCGGGGAGGGAGAGCTCTTGTACAGTTCGTTAATGCACGTAAGAAGCAATTGTTCGTGTGTGATGATTGTCAGCAACATCCTTATTACGGCACTGACTAAAATAATTACCGTAACTCCGCGAGACGCAAGAGTGCGAGGCGCTTTATTTATACATCTAAGCCAGCATCGACATCAAGAGCTACACACATATGCGTTTCTAGCATCTCGTCATCTAACAAATGATTGCGTCAAGTGGACGCAACGCGATCTCTGTAAAGTTCCCATGGCTAAAATACTTTTCTCGGATATCTGACTCTCTCGAGTTCCAGATAATACCTCTCGAGAGAGAGCTTTATTAAAGAGTATTATGACTCCAAGTCAATTTCAACAAAATAAAAAAATTGTTATCAATTTCTATATCTATAAAACCGTGATATTGATTTTATATCTCCGGATTTTTATTTTTTACATTTAATTCATTAAAATTCTTGCGAACATCGCGGTTTCTAGTTAAAAAAAAAATTATAATTCTATCAATTAAGTATACCAAAGTTATGAAAGTAGTATGCTAACTTTTTGGAAATCATAAGTACTGGCTGCGTTTAGCAGAAGAAGCAGTTTTGCAACTGCAGTTGTAAAATTCTTTAATATGATTGATTTTGCCCTTAGTTTCTCATTGAATCCAAATGTGCAAACCAATTATATTAAAGAATTTTACAACAATTGCAAAGCTGTTTTTTCTAAATGTTTTTAAGATTCAAGTTGCACAATATTTATTGAAAATTGATAAATACTTTTCTCTTTTTCTTTTTTAAATAACAATCGAATTAAAAATATTCTCGACAATAATCATATTTTAAAACGGTACATAATATAGGCAGAATGCTGGATTTAACACCTTGTAATGTCTAAAAAAAAAATAAAAATAAAAATAACCTACAATGACCTTTGGTGCACCTTAGGTAGCGCAATTTTTTATCGCGTATCAGGCCAACTTTATAAACAGTGCCCGAGGCGCCGATTAGCATAAACGGCAAAAGCGTACCGAGAAATTAGCATATACCTTAAAAAACCTACGGCAAGTAACCTCCGAGCGTTCGGTAAGTAGCAG